TTGAGCAACTTAACCTGAGCATATATAGTCATTAAAGTTTTAAAGTTGGTGACAGAGCCTTCTTTGGACCAAGAAAGTGAAAAGGCGTCGTTGGAAGGTGAACATATGAAGAAAGAGGTCTAATAAGTATGGACTAAAAAGAAAAGGTGACCTAGTAATTGGAGTTACCTGAGAATTGTTTGGAGTACCCGTTAGAATCTTGGAGTTAGTTTGGCAAGATACTTGGAGTAAGGGTAACAGGTACGCAAAGTAAAGTGGGATCCTTATCAAGACGATGGAACTGCACGAGGAAGTAAAGAAGAATTCAAAGGCGGAGAATCTACATCACTTTGATCACCATCGTTCGAATCTTGAGGACGAGATTCATCTTAAGGGGGGTAGAATTGTAACACCCTAAAAATTCCTCTTTTTGAAATAGGGTTAAAAAGATTTAATTTTGGATTTTTTTGCTCATTAAAACATAGGAAATAAAAATTTTCATGAAATTAAAATTTATTATAAGGTTTAGAAACATGTTTGTGCATACATGCTGCTGCATATTTATTTTGTGGTGATTGGGTTTGATCAAACTTTCAAAAGAATTTGAATCTGATTTGAATTTGGTTTTGAAAATTTGTTTAAAAATAAAAGAAAAAGAAAATTTCCCTCCTTCCTGGCCCAAAGGCCTGCTCTCTCTCCCTCAGCCCGGCCCCCTCCTCTCCCTCATTTCCTGTGGGCCCAGCTCCTTCCCCGTGCGCCGAAGCCTAGCTTCGCACCGGCCCAGCGTAGCGTCGGCCATGTCCGCCCATTCCCTTCCCCGCGTGGCCCACACCAGGGCGCCCGTGCAGTCCGTGCCCTCGCCAAATTGTCGCGCCGCGTGTCGCAACCCTAGCCGTCATCCACCGTCGCTGACCGGCTTCACCGCAGTTCAATCGTTGACCAGAGCTCTTCCCAAAGCTGCGCACGACTGTAAGCAAGACGCCCGTGCAGTCCGTGCCCTTCCTCTCTCTCTCTTTCATGTTTTAGAGCTCGCCGGAGTACCACCATAGTTTCCGAGCTGCCCCATCATCGTCACCACCGTGTCTAGTGCCTTAACTCCTTCGTCGACCTCACAGATGAGTTTGCTGTAGACTCCGCCGTCATCCCGTGTTTTCCCGTGGCTCTCGGATGTCTAGTTTGGAAACCCGAGTGTCGCCGGAGACGCCCTCGCCCTCGACCATGGTGCGCCACCATGCCAGAGCGCCGGCCTGGCGACCATCTCTCCCCGTATGCCCGCAGCCGTCCATCTCTCCACCAACGGCTCAGGTTAGATCGCTGTGTATCGGTTCGTCGCCGGTGCACAGCACAGTATGGACCAAGCGCACCATCCGTGTCAACAGGCCACGTCAGCGGTTCACCATAGATCAGCCACTCAATGACCGCCACCTATCACCACGTGTAGTGCCACGCCGCGACCACGCTGACTGCGTGAACAATTTGCTAAAGAGATCCTAGCTTTTTTAGAAATCAACCCGCCGTCGTGAGTAGTTCAAAAGTAATTAAAAATATGCCCTTGATTTATCTGTTTTGGCCCTTGTGTTTTGCCAAAAACGAGGCTAGGTCCATTAGGCATTTTAAATTTGGTTTTTAATTATTTTTAATGCGAAATTGATTCCAAATATTTACAGAATTACCACTGATCTTATTTTATGCGTAGTTTCTCCATTTTAACTCTGATTTCACCCATTCAAGTTGCGTTAGATTCGTAATGGAGTAATCTACATGCTTATCTTACTGATAAATATAATTTCAACTTTTGAAATTTGAGGTTAGGTTTAATCTATTATTTTGAAGGAAATCTTGTTTAATTCATAACTTTTTCGTTATAGCTCCGATTAGAGTGTTTTTCGCGTCTGTGTGTTCATAGTAACGTGTAGAACATCTTTAAAACCTTTTCACTTACTGTTTCTTATGTTTGGTGTACTGTTCTAATTTAGATCTATTGTTTGCTTCATGTATGATTGCATGGTGCTTGATTGGTGCTTTAGGATCTTATCCAGTCGATGAGTTTTACGTTGTAATCAAGAAGCAGTTCTTTGTAGGCTACGAATCAAAAGAAGAAGATTAGAGTTTTAAGGCAAGTATAGCATGGGATATTCCTTGTTATTCTATACACCTTTAATCATTTAATTCATACTGCATGTGTCTACCTTGACTACCACTAAGGATTTCCTAATACTTTGTACCTTGTTCCTTGATACCTATAGGGTATTGCATTGGGTAGTATGATGCTAGTGCTCAACTAAAGCCGTGATCTTGTAACTTCACTATGGAATATGAAATAAACACTAAAAGATGCTTTTCAGCAACATGAAATCAAGGGGCTAGAGCCTTGGGCTATTTTTATGGTGCTCTAGATTCCTCTCCTTAAGGACTTATCTGTAAGTGATCATCCGGGACTTACAGTACAACTATGAGGGCTACATGGCTCTAACTTTAGCTCAGTATGAGGACCTTTTCTAGCTTGTTAGAGGTTACCTTTATTGGCATAAGAATGGCTTGCTGAATTGGGTATAGTGCGGCCTCTGTCCCCTTGTGTATAGGCTGCGCGTCATTGTGCCATCGGGAAGGGTGGCTCTACATATGTTTGCCGAGTGAATATAATGGCCCTAACTTGTTAGATGAACCTTTGAAAGGCTTTATAGTGAACCCTGTCGATCTTCCTTGGAAGTGGGTCAAGAGATTAGCTACCTCGGGCGAAAGGGTAAATCATGACTCACAGTGAAAGTGTACAACCTCTGCAGAGTGTAAAACTGATATATCAGCCGTGCTCACGGTCACGAGCGGCCTTGAAACCGTTACGGATTAGATGATGAACACTGATGATACTAATGATAAAAGTGTTCATTAATGGTTAATTGTTTATGCTATTCATTATTCATGTTTACCTGATCAAGTGTTTATATGGGTTTGTGATAAACTTGTTGCTACTCCTATGCTAAAATTATAACAATTAAAAGCTAATCGCAGTTAAACCAGTGATCAGCCTTTTGAGCCTCATGAACCCCATATTATATTTGTTTAGTAGGACATGTACTTATGCTTGCTTTACTTTTTAAATCTTTGAAAAAATCCCGGATGGGTACCAAATTGCTAGAGTTTGGAGGAATTAGGCTTGTGATCAACCAGTCAGTTGCCCCTGTGGAATTGGAGTCTTCACCCGAAGATCGGAGTTGTCTTTCCGCTGTTTGTTGTCTAAGGTTATATCCTTTATACTAAGTACGTCATATATTGAGCATTGTCTTTCGATATTATCTTTAATTCTAGCTATATGTGAGATTTGACTTTCTGGGCTCACATATGGTGTGTATCTGGTTTTGTTCTTAAAACCGGGTGCTACACGGACACCCTCGATCACAACTCCCCACATCTCATCTTCTCCACCTCAGCGTTAGGGGTGGCTCACGCGGCCATGGTCCTCTCCGTCCTCCCCATCCTCCTGTAAGCCAACTTCCTGATCTAGATCCACCATCACCAAGGTGATATATCGCTGCCCTCCTACTCACTCTCTCCTCGTAGATCCGCTCTAGAAGCTAAGCTATGCCCCTTTTCCTCTGTCTTTCTTTGTCTTCTCGCAGATCTATGGTAGAGAAAGCACAGACGGACGAACGGCTCTGACCTGCAGCGCAGGTAGTGCGAACTGACGGGTTCAATATGTGGCAGAGATGGTGGGGCAGGCGGATCGATTTGTGGTGGAGATGGCACGGGTGTACATCTACGAGGCTTGGCAGCAAACTCGACGAGCTCAATTGGCTTGACAACGAAGTGGACGGGCTTAGTGGGCTTGGCGACGAACTCAGCAAGCAGTGACTAGCCTCAACGACAGGTTCATTTTGTTTATTTTTTTATTCCATTTCTAGAGGTAGGCATTGTTAGACGCCTGCGTCTAGAGTTCCATTTCCAGAGGTAGGCATTGTTAGGCACCCGCCTCTAGAGTTCCATTTACACGGACATGGATCACACCCACCTCTGTAAATCTTTGATTTATAGTGACTTCATGGTATAGGCAGGCGGACAGGACGCCTCTGAAAATGCTAAACGATCGACTGTGAAAATCGGTTTTGTAGTAGTGGTGGATTGGGAAGATTGATCCATTGTGTTAATGTTTTTTTTCCCAAACACATATTATGAGATATAATATACGTATGCTCGTGGTAAAGGTATTTTGTATGAACTTCCTTGTACGGCTAGTATAGATATTTAATGGTTTGTTATTAGATGAGATTAGGGATCCAAGCAAGCTTGTTAAAAATTAAGTCTATTTGTGAGTTTAGAGATAAATCCGCTTTCATTCTTAGGTAATAATATTTACTCATACACTGAAAATTTTGTCTCAAAACTTCAAGGGTTTTGTTTGGCTTTTGTGCTGCACTTTTATGAATACAAGGGGCGTTATAAAATCACATGGGAATGAATATACTACACCGCTGATGTGCACATGATAGGTTATGTAGGAGCCATTTGGCAGAGTTCTCAGATCGGATTCTCCTTAACAATCACTATTCTTAGCCAAACAGCAAAACTACGTGCAGGTTCTTGTGGAGAGCAGAAAAGAATCACTTTCTTATGTACATTAGAAGCTAAAAATGGATATGCTCCTCACTGCTCTTTATTCAATCTCCACCAAAATCACTTTTCACCTGCTCCGCCGTCAAAATCAAGTAGAATCATTTCACCGAAGAACGAATGAGTTATTAGAGCTCAAAAATAGAGAGTAAAGCTCTGTCAAATCACCCGTGGAATTCAGACATACACAGACCAAGATGTGTACGCATCTTCACATAGCAGCCAACCATAGTTTACAGTGCCACAATAACATATAATATGCTATATATGTATAATACAATAGCCTCATCAAAGGATTATTTATTTTGCAAACAACCATAAATAAACCATCAAAAGAAGGGGCAGGTGTACAAGTACAACCACAACCACAACCACCGGGTTTCGCCTCCAGTCTTGAGCATTATCCTATATATATCCTATGTGTTGACAAATCTGCAGGTCTTCCTGACCACGCCGCCGCCAGGGTTTGTGATGTTGCCCATCTTCACCATGGAGTCGGAGAACTGCTTGAAGAAGGCCTCCGGGTCGGCCCAGTACTTGTTGACGGTGTCGGAGGTCGAGTAGCCGGCGATGCTGGACCACATCTCCTGGTCGGAGTTGAGGAGGCCCTCGCCCTTGATGAGGGTCTCGAAGTAGGCGTTGTCGAAGACGGCGGAGGTGTGGTTGTCCATGGCGCTGATGTTGTCGTCGCCGTCGTCCCGCGGGCACACCTCCTTGAGCTTGCTGAGGTACGCCTCGGACGACGGGTTGTACTTGGATGTCAGCTCGAAGTCGCCGTAGATTCTGTCCCTGAAATTCGCGCACCTGGCAAATCCGATTGTGTGGGATCCTATGTATATGCACGTGGTAGACATTTATTTATATATTATTAGTCAAGAGTTGGAATCCTGTGTTTGTGCTACGGGGCTTACGCTACCTCCATGCATGTATCCATCAGATGATCAGACTGCAGACTTGAGAAACAAGGACATGTCTCCCTTTAGAACAAACTGAGACCAATAATTCTAGAAAGACGAGTATGCCTTGTATGAAAGCCGAAAATAGCATCTCAGAGAGGCAGAGCTCCTTACCTGCAGATGCAATTTACTTTACTAGTCACCATCTGCCAGAATTCCTGAGCGATGGGACCCACGCTGCAGTGGCTTAGTCCTGGCAGCTCACCGGTCACCACCTCTACGGGACTGCTGTAGATATACGCACTCGTGCAATGGAATAAAGATGGTTTTGAAAGGGGGAAAAATCGTGCTTTTGACTGTATACAACTATAAATAGAACTACCAGTAGGGAGGAATATTGATTCTCAAATCCCAAAATAAGGTGGCATGCCTTTTCCGAAGAGGAATCAATAGCTGAGAGCGTAGTTTGCGCAGTGCTGTGTGTAAGGATAGTCACCAGGGTAAAATCTGTGTACAAGACTCGGTTAAACATTTGGTATATGAAGCAATATCGTTTCGACCTGGATACGATTTTTGTTGACACCTAGGTTTTTTCACGGGCAGTTAATAAAGAGTAGCTGCAAGTAAAAACATTGTGTGGACCTATGCTGGTTATGAACCATCAGTGTAGATACAGCTGCACTAGTGCTATCCTTAAAAAACCGCTAGTGTAAATATATGAACTACATTGGTAGTTGACTTAACTCTACTGCTAGTGTAAGTTGACTCAGTATTGTCTGCTATCTTAAGTGCCCACGAATGTAAATCCATTAATTGACTCTGCATTGTCTGCTGTCTTAAGTGGCCACCAATGTAAATCATATATTTACACTAGTGGTTTATAAGGACACTACTAGTGTATAAAGGTTTACACCAGTGATTTTCTTAATGTACCATCCATACAAATAACACTATAAATACCCTTATCCCCCCCCCCCAATGAACTGTATGGCCCCGTTCAGCTTACCTTAAAACCAGCTTGTTCGGCTTCTTTATTCAGCCGAAACAATGTTTTTCTCTCACAACGATTCAGTCAGAAACAGTGTTTTCAGTCAGTTTCAGCCAAGTTTCAGCAAGCCGAACGGAGCCTATATACCGAGCCACCTTCTATTGTTGGCGTCATTGGAGGTTCAAAAATTACAAAATACGAGAGGAGTGGTTTTGATCTTGGTTTCTTTAAAGGAGGTTACTCAATAAGGTTAGTTAATCCCTATTCTATAACTTTTTGGATGAATCCTTCCAATTTGTGGCCTAATTATATCTAGGTTTGTGTATGGAGAGAGAAAGCAAGCATGGTATTTGGGTATTCTAACACCATATTCAACAAAGTCTGTGTTCCCAGATTATTGTATTAGATAGCCTCACATGTTCCTTCCATTATTTTCATCAATTTAATAATTTATGGATCCATACATGCATGAATGGGGAATAGTTTTAGATCTAGATGGTGAATCTGGATCCATACATGTATGAACAGCACTATTTATATCTAGAACAACCACCAGTAAAAACTAACGGCGAGCGGAAGTGGCAAGGAAATAAGAGCATCTCCAAGAGTTTCCAAGAATTTCTACCCAAAACCATGAAGTTTTCCAACTCACCAAAAAGTATTGAGAGAAATAAATAAGATCATCTTCAACAGTTCCCAATAACTTACTCCTAAAATATAGAAGACAATTTTACATCAGGAATCCTATACTATATCGAAATTATCCTAACCATTTTTATATATTATTTCTCTCTTTTGTACATTTGTATTATGAACTCTTTTTCTATTCTTTATTCTTTCCTTGTCCTTCCACCTTTAGATTGGCCGAAGTATACGGCGTGGGGAGAAGATACGCACGAGTCCGGCATCTTTACGTGCAAGGGAGGGGGGGGGGGGAGGGGTCTCAAGTGACAAAAGATTGGGAGGTGAGTTTCGGAGTTGTTGGAGATGGATTTTATTTATTTTTTCCAAAAATCATGGATTGGAAAGAATTATTGGGTACTCTTGGAGATGCCCTAAAGGCAGTAGCAGCGTTGGTTTTGTTCCTTGATACTTGCAAGTTAGGAGAGTGTGTTTAGTTGTGACGCAATGGCTCGGTTTTAGTCACGTGGTGGCTGGGACTGGCCCACCAACTTAAAATACATGTTCACACATATACAAGTGGTGGAGAAGACGACGGTGGAAGCAGGACTTCAAGAGCAATTGCAATCGTCTGCTTCACTCCCACTATAACTGAGGGAGAAGCTTCGCTCCCGCTACAAACTGAGAGGAGATGTTAGAAGTAAAGGTAAATATGGTTAGAGATATTTGGAGATGGAAAACCCCTAATGATAAATAAAGATAGAATTCTACAGAAAGACTAAGATTAGGCCTAGTACAACTTGGCTTATACTCTAAATCTCTCCTCATATATACCATACCACAACTGCTTCAAATTCTCCGACTTTAGATTAGCTTCAGTCAAAGGAATGTTAGTGCCAATCATGCATATGCTAGGTAGGACATAACATACCAGATAATTCCCTAGCTCGATCAGCAACTTGTCCAGTTCAGATGATCTCCTAGGATTTCTGTCTGCAAACACCAAACATGCATATATACTGCTTTCGCTTAAAACTTCCTAGAGAAGCAAAGCTGGTCAAGAGGAGAGGATTACGTACCTGCAATGCAAGTCTAATTCTCTAGCCTTGCATCGCCAACGAAGCATCAAATCTTTATCTGAAAACGACTCCTCGACGTCTGAGCATTGGCGCTCGCGGTCGCGAGTCGCGACATCCAAAGCCAACCACAAGATAGGCCACACAGCACTGCTCCGCCCCACACAAGAATGGCGCCAAGTGTCACGCCCTGGATTCCACTGACACCCACCCCTCCTATTAGTACTACTCTGCACTGGACTTGGTGACTTCACTTCCCCCTTCGTTCCCCCACAAACTCATACGACAGTCGATCCATCACTCCCTGCAACAAGACACAGCAGCAGGATAGGATAGGAGGCAGCCAGCCATGAGAGGTAGAGGAACAGGAGAAGACATATACACCCACATATAGTGAAGGGAACAGTCGCCCAGTCGGTCCTGCAGCTGCAACAGGCTGCCGGTCTTTGTGGTGCAACAAGTGCAAGTGACAAAACCTCTCCGATCCGTTCATGAATTATAACTTCGGCGCCAACGCTCTCGACGAGGAGGTTGTTGGAAGAGGCGGCGGCAGAGGCGGGGAAGGGGGGAGCTGCCCAGCCCCAGCATGGGCCAGGCCCTGCGACGGGTGCCGCGCGGCGCCCAGCGTGGTGTACTGCCACGCCGACGCGGCGTACCTGTGCGCGGCGTGCGACGCGCGGGTGCACGCCGCCAACCGCGTGGCGTCGCGCCACGAGCGCGTGCGCGTCTGCGAGGCCTGCGAGCGCGCGCCCGCCGTGCTGGTGTGCCGCGCCGACGCCGCCGCGCTCTGCGCCGTCTGCGACGCGCAGGTCCACTCCGCCAACCCGCTCGCGGGGAGGCACCAGCGCGTGCCCGTGCTGCCGCTCCCGGTCGCGGCCATCCCGTCGGCTTCCGTGCTCGCCGAGGCAGCGGCCACCGCCGTGGCCGTGGGTGACAAGGAAGAGGAGGTTGACTCGTGGCTGCTGCTCACCAACACCAAGGATCCTGTTTCAGACAACAACAATTGCAATTGCAGCAGCAGCAACAACAACATCAGCAGCAACACCAGCACGTTCTACGCAGAAGTTGATGAGTACTTTGATCTCGTCGGCTACAATTCCTACTGTGACAACCACATCAACATCAACCCAAAACAGTACGGGATGCAAGAACAGCAACAGCAACAGCAGCAGCTGCTGCTGCAAAAGGAATTTGAAGACAAGGAGGGAAGCCAGTACGTGGTGCCTTCACAGGTCGCGATGGCCAATGAGCAGCAGCAGTAGCAGAGTGGCTATAGAGTTATTGGGGCAGAGCAGGCTGCATCCATGACTGCCGGGGTCAGTACTTACACAGATTCCATCAGTAACAGCGTGAGTCCATCTATTACTACTATTACTATCACTATCTATGCTGTCATGTGTTTGTTTTGAGGTTTCAATGTTATTTTATACGTATAAGAGGCAAGTAGTCCAAATTTATCCCTACCATTTTACACTTCATTTTTGTCTTTTAGGAGTACTTTGCAACAGTTAAAAAAGATTGCACCTTTCTCAATGTTCAGAATTAACGTCCATAAATTAAACCCCATCTACTACATATCATTGCAGGGTCGCCTATGACACCTGCAATCCCCTTATGATTCCCATATTTTAGTGACCAGTCAGCATGTTCGGGAGGCCATAAAGGATCGTGGATTATTTACCGTTGGCTGGTTTGGTGTGAGAGAAAAATACTGTTTTGGCTGGAAATTTACGATCGTTTACGACTAAACGAACAGGCTGCATTTTGTTGGAACCGGTGGTGACCACCGAGTTCACGATCTTGGAGTTGGCTTGCAGCCGGCCCGGCTTGTGTGGAGCCACGAGCCTACGCTTCCACAGGTCCCAGGTCCACCGGAGCTACAACATATAAGGCTTTGGGCTTTCCCAACCCAAAAAACTAGCCTGATAGGTGGGGTTCTCCCGCCTTATATGTTGTGCTCCACACTATCGCTACACGATGTGGAACTAAACCCCAACAATCTCTCCCTTAGTTACACATCGGGGTGTCCCCGCCATATGTGACGCTCGAGATTTTTTATCGGGTTTAGCTTTTTTTATCATGGGCTCCGATACCATTTGTTGGAACCGGTGGTGACCACCGAGTTCACGATCTTGGAGCTGGCTTGCGGCCGGCCCGGCTCGTGTCGAGCCACGAGCCTGCGCTCCCACAGGTGCCAGGTCCACCGGAGCTACAACATATAAGGCATTGGGCTTTCCTAACCCAAAAGACTAACCTGATAGGTGGGGTTCTCCCGCCTTATATGTCGTGCCCCCCACTATCGCTCCACGATGTGGGACTAAATCCCAACACATTTGCCAATTCCATCTCAGATATCTTTCTCATCATCAATGGAGGTGGGTATTGTACCAGACAACATGGCAACGACAGACATGCCAAACTCCGGCATCCTGCTGACACCTGCTGGAGCTATCAGCCTCTTCTCGTCAGGTCCTTCACTTCAGATGCCACTTCACTTGACCTCCATGGGGAGAGAGGGCAGGGTCCTCAGGTACAAGGAGAAGAAGAAGAGCAGAAAGTTTGAGAAGACCATACGTTATGCGATGAGGAAGACATATGCAGAAGCAAGGCCGAGGATCATGGGGCGCTTCGCCAAAAGATCTTCTGATATGGAAATCGAAGTGGACCAGATGTTCTCAACTGCAGCTCTGTCGTCTGATGGTAGCTATGGTACCGCTGCATGGTTCTGAAGGAACTTTGGTGAGACATGTTTGTTTGACAACTTAAATGAACAATTACCTTAGCATTTGAGTTTTGGTTTGTAATTTCATATAGCAGGTCTACATATACTGTTAGTACCCGCTCAGTCACTCTAACATTTTTAAGTAAACAGAGAGCAAAATAAATAAATAAAATGGAATTGGGAATTAGTGTGCAAATCATTCTTTGTTGCCACAGATTAGCAGCAGCATATAGCAGTAATGCTATGGAACAGGGACATGCTTCGTGATTCGAAACACTGTAGCTTGGATGGTTCAGTTATACCATGAGTGGTCAGTGATCAGCATTATCTGATGTACTATGTAACACTGAGAGTCAAAAGTACCTAAACCATTAATATATACAAAAGCACCTCAAGCTATTTCCTGAATCGAACGAGAGAATATATCAGAAAGTGCTTTCTCATGCTCAGTGCATTATATTCCTCTTTCCTTTAACTAGCAACCATTTCACGAATCTTGGTGACTTTATTTCTCGAGTGCTACGGATGGATTCTGGAACGTTCACCAAATATCTGAGGCATCATCTCAGGACACTGATCACTATACAGCTTATCATCTCTGGCTAAACTTAAATGTTAGTGACCACAAATCTAGGCCGCTAACAAATCAGCTAAATCACTATGCATTTAAATCCCTTGGAACTTGCTCCCTGATACTATTACACACACTGCAATTAGAGGAAATTCACTAAAGCAGCGCAGCCGCCCCTTAGGTCTGGCAACTGTCACCGGTAGGGTAGTCTTAGGGCACTCCTTCCTCTACGTCACCGATAGTCTTAAGCAGTTTATTTGTTTATAGTTTGGTTTGATTTAGTTCGAATGAATCTACCGGCAAAATCATCAGCAATGAGATTATTCGACTTGGCACAATTTATTTGGAGCATATCGACCGCATCAACTTAGGGTCCAAGGCTACTAGAGAAGAATGTGATGGAAGGATTAGGATAGTTTTTTTTTTCTTATTTTAGTGTTGATGCTAATTAGGTCGAACACGGGTAAGGAGCTAGATCACTGGTAGAGGCGGGCCAAAGATCAGCCATACCGACTTTTAGGTAAGCCATCGCTCAAACCCGTGTTCGCAAATGAACGCTTCACCTGGTGCCTCCAGTGATGAGCGCAATACGCAAGACATGTCACACGATGAGCCTCGTGTCAGAAGATTTGGGCTGACCCAAAATAATATTCTCAAATAAATCCCAAAGGCCCACTCACATGTGCAAGGTATGGTGGGGGACTTTAGTCCCACTTTGCTACTCTAGGAGGAGTGAGGCCAACTTAAATAGTTGAGCTGTCTCCATCTAGTTTAAGCTATTGGGGAGAGGAAAAGGAAAAAACACACGCACTCGCCTCGCCTCACCGGGCGGGGCGGGGCGATGGGCGTGGACGCGCAACATGCGCGTGAATAGTCTGATGATTTCTCGCTTCGACCTTGCAGGTGCGCGGCTTCCTTTTGCTACTCAATATTTTTGTATGCATGGAGAAAATTGCACTGGCCTATTTTGGCAAGCAATTATTCTCGCATTACCTTAGCTGCGATGTGTGTATATATATTGAGACAAAACGTCGTCCTCAGTACATGGAATTCATCTCCTCCTTTCACCACAGTGCTGCGCCGCCGCCGTCTTCGCCATCCCGTCACCGATGTGTCATCGGCGCGGGGAGAGCAGGTCTTCGAAGCCTACGTCTCCTTGTGTCCCTGCCCGGAGAAGGGGTGTATCAGGTTTTTGAGAAGCGCTGTCGCGATTGCTCGCTGAACGTCTTCTTCCCTCTACGCCGGTGATCATGGATCTACATCGACGGTTTGCTTCGTCTTCTTTTGCGCTATTGCTAGCGCCGACAACCCCACTGTAAGAATGTCTACGCTTTCTCTTTTGTTTGTTCTTGTGTTCACTGTTACTAGCACTAGAGAGTTTGTAGTTTTTTCTCGGATCGTAGTGCTAGTGTTGACTCAAACACCCATGGTATATGTTGTTGTTCTTTTCCTCAATTTCATAATCAATTTATGCATCACCAAATTGCTATTATTTCCAACAATCCAAAAACCTGATTGGGATTTAGTGATGGCTCGATTTTCTGAAGCGATGAAACCGGAGAAGTTCACTGGTGTGAATTTTAAGAGATGGCAGACGAGAGCCCAGCTGTGGCTCTCAGCTATGGGCGTGTTTTGGGTTGTAAGTAATCCTCCCGCACTACCCCTCGGATCTGAGAAAGAGGTGCAGGAGTTTACCGCGGCTACGACGATTTTCGTCATATGCGTATTAGCGTGCTCTCTTAGAAGCTGTGTGATGTTAACATGAACATCAAAAGTGTTGCTGAACTGTGGGAGGCGCTTGAGCACAAATTCTCTACCTCGGATGTTGGGCACGAGCTGTACGTGATGGAGCAGTACCACGACTTCAGAATGGTTGATAACCGTTCTATTGTGGAATAGGCTCATGAGTTCCAACTTATTGTGAGAGAACTCGAATAGCTCGGACACGTCTTGCTTAACAAGTTTGTGGTAGGTGGCATTATTGCCAAGTTGCCTTCGACGTGGAGGAACTTTGCCACAACTCTAAAACATAAAAGACAGAAAATATTCATTCAAGATCTGTTGGTTGGTCTTGATGTTGAAAAGAAGGCTCGTGCAAAGGATGCTCCACCACGAGCACCCAAAGGGTAGTCTAACGCTAATGTGATGCAGCAGGCTAGAAAGAACAAGCAAAAGGCCAATCAGACTACTCAATTCAAGAAGAAGATGAACATGGATGAGGTTGTGTGCTTCGTTTGCGGTGAGACTGGGCACTTTGCCAAGAAGTGCAAGAACCGCACGGGCAAGAAGAATCAGCCAGGGCAGAAATCTGCTAACGTGACTATTGGCGATCCTAATGGATCTAGGTACGGTAATCTACCGATTGTATTTTCTTTATGTCAATCTAATGATTGGTGGATGGATACAGGAGCCAATATTCATGTCTGTACAGATATCTCCATGTTTTCATCTTACCAAGTCGCACGAGGTTCAACTGTCATGATGGGGAATGGCTCGCATGCTACTGTTCTTGGTGTTGGTTCAGTCCATCTGAAGTTCACTTCGGGAAAGATCATGCAGCTCAAGAACGTGCAGCATGCCCCCCGCAATAAAAATTAACCTCATTAGTGGATCCCTCCTATGTCGAGATGGATTCAAGCTAGTCTTTGAGTCGAATAAAGTAGTCATTTAGAGGTATGGCCAATTCATTGGCAAAGGCTATGATAGCAGAGGCTTGTTCTGCTTTTCACTCTCCGATTTCTGTAATAAAGTTGTGAACCATATGTGTGATTCAAACAACTCCATGGCTGATGTATGGCATTGTCATTTGTCTCACATTAATTTTGGTTGTATGTCGTGTCTATCCAGTATGAGTTTAATTCTGATTTTTTCTACTATCAAAGGTTCTAAATGTCAAGCATGTGTGCAAGCAAAGCAACCTCGTAAGCCACACAAGGCTATAGACGAGAGGCATACTACATTATTAGAACTCATACATTCTGATATTTGTGAGATGAATGGTGTGTTGACAAAAGGAGGAAAAATATACTTTATGACATTAATTGATGATGCAACTAAGTATTGTTATGTGTTTCTTCTAAAAACTAAAGATAAGGCGCTATAATGTTTTAAGACTTATAAGACTGAGGTGGAAAATCAATTGGAAAAGAAAATAAAACGTGTTAGGTATGATCATGGCGGGTAGTATTTTTCCAATGAGTTTGATCTTTTCTATGCAGAGAATGGAATAATTCATGAATGGACACCTCCATATTTGCCTCAATCTAATGGGGTTGCCGAAAGAAAGAACAGGATGTTAATGGACTTGGTGAATGCCATGTTAGGAACGTCCGGTATGGCAAAGGCATGGTGGGGGAGGCTGTTTAACATCATGTCATGTTCCAAATAGAGTTCCCACTAAAAACAGTGATATCACACTACTACAGATTGACTTATCACTATCGCCACTTTTACTGTCGTAGCGATAGAAGCGATGGTGTGATACATCCACCGTCGGTTGACCGATAGCGAGGCCTCCTAAGGAAGGAAACCGGCAGTAGAAACTACTACCACCGATGGGTTAATGGTAGATGCGGCAGTGGTATTAGGGTTGCATTTCCTCCGTCGCATGAAAAGCCAGGCCGACTGGGATACGCGTTTTGGCCGGCAGTCCAAAACTAGCATTTGATCAACCGGCAGTAAAAATTCAGCATAAGTGTTGAATGCCCTCAACTTCCAAGGCCGTCAAATCACCATTACTTCTGCCACCTAAAGCCAAAGAGCCATACCCCCTTCTCTACATATTCCTCAAGCCCGATGCCCTCTGAAACAACCCCTCTTCTTCATCCATTATCCCCTTCTCTTCCAATCTGCAAAGAAAATGTTGGACAACCCCATCAAGTTTCCAAGCAGCCCGTCGTCCAGCAAGGACGACTTGCCAGCCCACTAGTCCTTTGAGGAGGATGTCTCCTCCGACGACTGGATGCCTTCTGATTATAGTCCTCTGTGGAGCTCCGAGAAGGAGGACCCAGAGGAGGAGGACGAGGATGAGGAGGACGACGTCGACGCCGATGATGATGACGACGATGTCTCCGACTCTTATGGCTCCAACTTTGACTCTGACTTTGACTCATCTCCTCGCAAGAGAGTGAGGCGATCATGATCCTCTCTTCGAGCAGATCATATTTAGATTAAGTAGTTTATAGTTAGTATAAGTAGTTTTAATAGTTTAGGTTAGTTATTATGTTTTTGGACGAGTACAATCATATACTCATCCAAATTGTATTTATCTGTATATGCAATGAATCAATGATTTGAAATATTATGTTTCCTACTGCTATTCTTGCTATCTATCGTTGATCCTTGCTATATTCCAGGAGATATTGCTACGCGATGAATGTTTTTTTTCTTTTTCTATATATATATGAATGAAAAGTAAAAACTATCATGTAAGGTTC